ATTGAAGAGGCTGAATAGCCAACTTCACATGGCCCTTGTTCAACAAATATGCAGGACAAATGGAGATGGATTGGGGGCATGCGTTGATGAGACCGTTGAGTGAAATCGCACGCCAGACCATCACACGAGTGGGTAAGGACAATCCAGTCGTCCGAGAGTAACATGGAGGAGATTGTGCAAGGAGGAGATGAGAGATTATGAGCAGTCATGGACCCACCTGAAGACGACAGCAGAAAATAGAAGAAGGTGGAGATTTGTTTTTCAAGCTCTGTGTTCCACTCGGAATCCAAGGAAACAATAATAATAATATTTGGCACTTGTAGCAGCATTGTATAGTTGCTACTTCTGGGATTTGAACTCATCTAACTTGGCGTTGCAGCCCGTGTCTTCACTCCAAAGACAATCAAACCACGTGATATGTTCTATTGACTGCATTATATGTGAAAACTTGTTATTCTTCTGTGGAAATATACAACCGTCTCATATTATTCACTCTGACAATTATATGTATGACTGTTGTTCTGCTCAAAATTCGCTAAAAAGCTTTTGTTATTGAAATACTTGTCGATTCTGTAGCTTGTTGTGTTGATTCATAAATACTTTACTAATTATTCCAAATATAATTCAGAAAATTTGGGTTATAAGCATTTTATAAAGTGGCTTTCTTTGAAATACAGCAGTCATTGTTATCTTAGTAATTATTTTTAGTATACATACAGTAAGTGTATAGAACCGACAAATTTTAAATCTTTTCATCAATACCAGGGAATCGACTGATTCTTTTATTATTGATATGCGGCTAATTAGCTTTCAGATTTCGCCAAACTGGTATGAAGTAACTCATGCTACTGATTTATGCCTTACTTCTGTCGGCTCAGAGCAGCATACACCAACAACATTATCATACAAATACACCTTTTTATTGAGTCAGAATTTGGCGAATTCAAATTTAGTTACAGGATTTCATCATGAGCTGACACTGGTTAGAGAACCATAGGAAAACCTGCAAGGAGTACTTGATAGCCGTCTCGTCCTGGTTTGGGACTCTTCAACAGTGCGAATCCACCGCCAGCGTTCGAATCCAGGACCTTCCGGTTACAGGACGAGGTCGTATACCATTAAGCCACTGGGACCCGATCCAGTGGCCTGTGAATTTTAACTTCTGCCAATTCACGACATAGCGAGACCATTAACCAATGTCTTCAGCGAGTATTTGTCCTCACACCCGATCTGCTGCACCCTACTGGTCACGATTTATCACTAGAACCCCAGGTAACTATCAATGTCAGCTCACAATGAAATCCTGTGACCAATCAAATCCCTACAAACCAACACCTGAATTTCAGTGAGATGCTCACTAGCGACTTGCCCTATTCAGGTAGGCAGTTACGTGGGGTTCTAGTGTGTAGGCATGATCAGTAGGGTGCAGCAGGTTGGGTGTGAGGACAAATACTCGCTGAAGACATTGGTTAGTGGTCACGCTATGTCGTGAATTGGATGAAGTTAGAATTCATGGGCCTCTGGATCGAGTCTCAGTGGCTTAATGGTTTACGAGCTCGCCTTGAGTTCGAACCCTGTTGGGTTCATACTGATAAAAAGTCCCAAACTAGGACGAAACAACTGTCCAGTACTCCCAAGTTTTCCAGTGGTTCTCTAGCCATTGTCAGTTCATGATGAAATCCTGTAACCAAACAAATCCTTAAAAACCAACACTTTAATTCAAATTTTAAGTGGTTGAAAATGCCCATTAAAATTTTTCGAAAGAATGGTTACTGAACAAACAATATTTTTTCCAATAACACCAGCAGGTTCTACAGTTACTTTACATACTGGTGAAAGAATTAGTGTTATGAACAACATTAATGTTGTTCAGATAACATCGAATCAATAGTAATAATATCAATGGACAACAGTTCGATGGCATCAACATAAAAATAAACTGAATGTCAGAAAAATTAAGAAAGATAATAATACAAATTCATAAATTTATAGTCTCCACTGAAGCTCGGCCCGGGCAGTAGGAGTGGCTGGTTTTGCTTCTTTTCCACTCAAAGCAGTGGTTGTTTCACGCGAATTGCGATAGCCTCTGTTGTTTAGAGTATGTGACACCTCAATGTTTTTAGCATTTTATTTGGTACACGGTAGATGATAGAGAAGGATTATTCAATGCTAGCTTTGTGGCCGGTTTGAACAAGATAGTCTAATATCGAACTGGTAGATACCAACGGAGCTTGGGGAACGAGTTATATTGGCCGTTGCTCCAGGAACTTGATTTTTCGTGTTCGAGAACATCTCTCAGTATGGCTAAGTAAAAATGTAGTAAAAAAAACATCAACATTTAATAGCACTAATTCATTCACTGTTGTATAAAATAACTGTAAAATCTGATGAAGGGGTTATCGGAAAGAATACTCATTGTTCAGTAAACATTCTTTTAAAGAATTCAAAATTCCTAACTTGGTGAATAGTGTTTAAAGTGATGCCTTATTTATGGTCAAAATCAATAATAACAGTTGTTCTAATACTTGATTTACTCTTTACTACCGAAAAAAAGTTGTATTGACCGATATAAGAATCTCCCATAGTTAGATTACAATAATACCACTGCAGTGATTTGTATCCCTTGTACAGAAAACAAATGATTCTTTATAACTTGAAATAAGTCATTTTAGGAATTTCTGTTAGTTGCAAAGTAGAAATACACAGCGGTAAGTATGTATGCTATGACAAAAAACAAGGATAACTGATTGTATCGTTCGATTGGTCCAGTAAATAGAAAGTCAACAAATATCTGTGTGTTTAGATTTGAAATTTAAATGTGCCAAACTGTGTTTTTGATTTTATAAATATATATTTCTATAATTAAGTAAAGTATTGGCCATAAGGCGAAGACTACTTTGGGGTCTAACAAACAGAACACAAAATTTGTTTGTAGTTAGTTGGTTGGTTAAAAATTATCTCTATGTATACATACAACATTAGTACTTCCTAGATGCTTTCTTAGGCTGTTGAGCCTTCAGAACTCGAACAGAAACATCCAGCTTAATTCGGTGTACACTATTATTATTCCCTTGAAATCTGAGCGAAACAAAGGGCTTCAGAAGCACACCTCCATTGCACTAGTTTCTCTGTCATACTTTCCAGCTACCTGCACTACTCTTCACAAGCTATCATTTACTTTTTTACGGAATCTCTTCCACACTACCAATACTTAAACCGTTGCTTCCCGGTCCGTTTGAATTCCATTGCCTGGCCTATGTCCAGTCCGTCCTCACTTCGTTCTGTATATTAGCTACCCAATAGGTTCTTGGTTAGTTCTCTGCTGCAATTATTAGCCAACCATCTAATCTTCAATATATGCCCTGCAAAGGTAGGAATTAGTGAAGGTCCGAAGTCTGCTGAAAATGCTTTTGGTGACGTGTGCACCACACCTCTGAACTGTATAGAAGTAATGACCTGAAATTAATGTTAAAATTTAGGATCTTATTCTATCTAGGTGATAAGGGAAGCGGATGTCCACACTGATTTCAGAGTAATAAACGCTTATTTTGATTTTTCGATCGTGGTTGCCTTTGACATCCCTATCTGTGCCATTTGTGGTAAACATGATGTCGTCAAGGTGTTTGGAAGAGACAGCTTTGTTTATGTATCTCCAAATGAAGGTTATTAATTCTTGTTGTTATTGGTTGGGTGTTTCTGTTACGTCTGTCTTCTTTGTCTTCAACTAAAGTCCTGTCTAAGTGACCTGTTTTGTCAGGTAGTTGGTTTTCATTTGTATGTTTTCAAGTCTGTGAGATATTAGACCTGAATCATCCAAGAGATCGAGATCGTTTTGTAGGCTCAACACTTACCCCTTTTCTTACTCCGCACCATCCGCTGTATGATCCAGTCCATCACAGTCAGGAATATCATGGGTGATAGTAAGCAGCCTTATCTTACTCCTGTTCTCACTTCAGTTGCTTTAGTAAGCTTCCTCTTGGTACTCAGCATCATCATATGGCCGTTGAATGGGGTTTATGTATGTTTGAAGCACTGCAGTCAGTAATTTTGAAGAAGTTACAAAATTACTTCATGGTTGATAGTGTAGAAGGCATGCCCAAAGTCATTCAAAGCTCTGTTCAATGATTATGCGTAGAGTTGTACTTCTGCCTGGATATGATTGGCTTTTCCTGATTCCAGCTTATTTCGACAGGAGTTTTGCATCCAGGACATCATTTAACCTCTCCAGAATGATGATGCTTAATATTTTGGTTGGAGTGGACATGATCGTGATTCAAAAGGTTTAAACCGTCCTTCTTTGACAGTTGGACAAGGCAACCTTCTTTCTTCACACATCTTTTAAAGAAATGAAAGAAGAATTACTCTCCCTGTAATACATCATCTGTAACTACAGCCAGCGTCAGTAAGAAAGACAGAAATTCCACCCATAGGGAATTACGACAGCTAAATTAAGTTATTACTGCAGATATTGTCAGGAAAACCAATGAAAGCTTCGCCATAAAATCATCCTGCTCAGAGAACACCGTATCACTATCGATCAGCCAACGACTTTTCCATTCTTTAACATCTTTCGATTATTATTCTGTAAACTTGGTAGAAGGGATAATATGATGCTGTAAGCACAACAGGGCTAAATTGTGATACATCGAGTAGGGTTTCACGATTAGCAGAGTGTATTATTTACCCGTTCTATTTCGTTTCTAAGACCTACGTATATTGATTATCGAAAGTTCTGATTAGTAATTTACATCAGCAACACAAGTAGTAGGAGTTGAAGGTATCGAGTGAGAATTTGAAAATTTGTTTCCAATGCTAACTAACAATCAACAACTTTTTTCTTAGATGATTGTGTACCATGGATATTCATGCACATTAGTGTAATATCAGTGAGATACATTCGTGTTTAATTGATTAATACTTGTAAGATAAGATATTATCTTGGTAGCTATTTTTGAATGTGAAATAAAAATATGGATTATTTTCATCTCGTTTCTGTTTAGGCTGCTGGTTAAACTACTCACTTTCAGAATATTGCCAATCAATGTTGCTTGTCCTGAGTTCAAAAGAAAATTTGGTGAGTTCAAAATAATGCTTTTATTCATAATACCAATTTTTAAGCATATTGGTTTATTCCTCTTCATATGTATACGATTATCATGTATTGACAGTGAAATTCAACTTAGAATTATCAATACAAAGAAGGAATCTCGGAAACCTTACTCAGAATTCTTAGCAAGGCAGGAATAAAAGCGAGATTCAAACCCACAAACTCAATTAGAAACAAGCTTTATCGGTTAAAGAATCCTGTGCAGCCTTTAAAACAAAATAATTTAGTTTATCTAATACCCTGCCTGCCATGACTGTCAGGTTAAATACATAGGTCAAACTAGTAGGACAGGGGCAGTCAGACTAGCCGAACATAAAAACCTAGCAGCAAAATCTAGATTGATTGACCTGAATAAGATAAGGAATCTAGAGAATTGTTCAACTATAGCACTACATGCAGTTACACACAACCACACAATAGGATGGGATAGGACGACAGTTTTAAAATCTAATGCAACCGCAGGGTGGAGGGAGAGATTGGTAACTGACTGAGGCTTTGTCTATCGAATCAACTGCAAATACATGTAATAAGAATGATTCAACACCTGTCCAGCCAGATATCTGGAAAATTCAACTACCCGAAAGACGACAAAAAGGAGAAGACAAAGAAAACTTTACAACTTAAGTTTCAAAGTCCTGTGATTATAATTGATGATATGATTATGAAGAATAAATTTCGTTCGACACGTCTTCCAGTAAATAATACTGTTTCACTGTGTGATACATCTAATAAACAAACTAATATGGTATATACTCCATATTTATCTATGAAGTTTTTAAAGATTTTAAAATTTCTCTTCTTTGGCAAATAGTTAATTGGGCATGTAATCAACCGACGAAAGGCTGAGTTTTCATAAATGTTTCATTACCTCACTGATTGAATTAGTAAATAACTAACCACACCAAAGTCTGAAAAACACTCTAACTGTAATTGGTCTGTTTGCATTTATCCTTATTTAGTTTTTTTTCAAAAATTTTAGGTACGTCTTAAAACATACATCACTGTTATTTCAGAAAAAAGCATTTAAATAGTTGAATATCCCACTCTCCGTGCTGAAAGTTTTCCCCTGTCAGCACACCTCCATTACATAATTTGATAGTCTGTATGTTGAATCTGTTATATCAGACAGGCAGTTTATTTTTTCTTTCACTTCCCATATTTCTTTTATTTTTTCACTTTCTGATAAACTGACCTTGTTCTCTGAATCAAAAAAGCAGTTTGTTTGACATTCCAACCATAATGAAGTTAACAATTTGCAATATTTTCAATCTTCAATAACGAGGTGTCTACCAGTGAAGACGTCTATATGACTATCTACAGTTGTTCATTTAAAATTCAAATTATTTGTTTGTTTGGTTTTTTCATCATTTTCTATATTTAGGTGATATTACGTGATATATCCTAATGAATACTAGAAACCACATGAACAATCAAATACTATTCTGACAGAAGTTACAACTTGAAGTGTTGCAATAACTGAAGCACAAAATTCAAGTGATATGGTATGATATTCTCAAGAGAATCTGTTTTTTTTAGGGGTAAGTGATCAATAACATAATTTTTAAGAAATTATTAGATTCATACACATGGTTTAGCCTTTACTTGTTTCATTATTACATCAGGTACGTACGAATCGTTGCGTCATGGGAGTCAAATGAAAAAGAACTGGTTTTGCAGACTAAAACACAATGTCAGTCATATCCTAAGAATTTCCACTTACCTCTTTGGGTTAAATTACTGGTCTTGAAAGGAATCAGCAAATCTTTACATTAAAACTAGTCCATGTAAAGCTAAAATTGCAGACTTTTGATTTTCTGGCTAATTTGTTTGTTAAGTTTGACCACGGACTGGTTAAATCTGATGCTTGCTAGTGACTGGCCCTAGGACGAAGTTGTCTACAGTTCTAGTCAGAAGTTGTTACTAGTGAGATTTATCTATTTTTATTTATTTTTTTTAATTATGATTACAGCTTGGTTCCACACCGTATTTTTGGTACAAGTATGGAATTTTCAGCGTGGATATCGGTAGCCCAAATTTCGCAGGCCGACCATAGATATTAGGTGTGCGTTGGCGAGGCCTCGAACCCCGGACCATGTGCATGGTCGGCGAGAGTCCTAACCACTGTGCCACCAACGCACAGGAGTGAGGACAAATACCTGAAGACGACACTGGCTGATGGTCGCGGTAAAATCACCATCTGGTAGAAATTAGAATTCATAGGTCCTAGTGGCTGAATGGCCTACGAGTTTTTCTTGAAACTGGAAGGTCCCGTTTTCAAACGCTGATAAGTGCATGCCACCGATGAGTCCGAAACTAAGACGAAACAGCTATACAGTACTTCGTAGATTTTGACGGTTCTCCAACTGATATCAGTCCATGGGCAAACTTGAAACAGATGAAAGCTGTACAAAATAACCCTTGAGATTTAATCTGTTTCTAATTTAATTTTGTATTTCCCATTGATTGATTATATTGGACCGCAAATCGCAGTCTCAGTTGACAAGTTGGTTCCTAGCAGGGACTCTTCGACAATGTTTGAGTATTAACACGCTGCAAGTTGGTGGATGGTGACTGGCAGTCGCATTCAGGATGTGGATTTCATCCTTTTTTAGACTTCTTAGCGGGATGCGCCTGCATTTCCAATTGTTGTTTTTCCTATTGTGACTAGAACCTAGCACCCATTGTCCCAGAACTAATTTTTGCAATACTCATGTTCATGTTTAAAACTGATGTGACACCTCCGGAGATTAATTAATCAGTCAACTATTTATCAGGCTTGAATGAATCAAAACAAGCATGACGCTAAGTAATTATTTTCATTCTATAGATTTTTGCAGCTGAAGTCAGATTAGCTTATGTTAATAGTGAGATTTCTGGAAAAATCAATCTCTAATACAGAGAAGTGTCATATCTCCCCATGAACACTTTAGAAAGACCATATGTACTCTGTTTTATTGCCATAACATTTGACTATTTTCTCTCCAAATACAATAAACTTAAGGTATGAGAACAGATATAAATACATTCCTCCTAATGTCTACATCTGTGAGTTGGCGGCATAGCGGTAGAACACTCGCCAACCACGCAAGTGGCCCGGTGTTCTATCCCCGGCCAACGCACTCTTTCACCTCATCAAGCCAGTAATAAGACTGGTAAAGAGGGGAGGTTGGGCATGAGGTTAGTAACCCTATCCCGTAAAAATAAACACCACTACTACCGAAACTTCAGGCCTCTAGCTTGAAGCCTTATGTTCCACTGGGAACGTGAAGCAATAAAAAAATAGTCTACATTCCACTTCGCATTGTAAACGGATATACGAACGACAGTGGACAAAGTTAGCGTCTGTATGCACATTTACCCATGACAGCTTTCAACCAACACATGAAATTTGTATAACTCTTGCATACATGTAAAATGCGATAAATTAATTAATGGACTAATTTGAAATAGTGATGAAAGAATTAAGTACATTTTCTATGGTAACTGTTCTTTGGTAATAAAAAAGCAGATTAATTTAATGGATTCACTCCAACAATCAGATGTTTAAGTGAGTTCAGTATACGATGATATTAGAACGTTGGAGGCAATAAGTAGGTAGTCTTGCTTCACCTAGGTTTTGTGCTAGTTAACACTCAACAGTCACCAAGGTGTATCCGCAACCTTGAAGGAACTCATGACCATTCTGAGATTCGAACCCGTGTCACCTAGTGCTGCAGTCACAGACGTTATCACTAAGCTATTCGGGCCAGCGATTGACCTCCTGTAGGATTGTGATGAATACTTTGATTGGACACTAGTAACTAGTGTGAGGTGTCTGAGCCTTTCTTTGGTGCAGACTGAATATTATATATATATATATATATATATATATATATATATATATATATATATTTGTAGGATAGGAATACTAATGGAAGATTTCATCATAAGATGACATTAATTAGAGAACCACTGGAAAACTTGGGAGTACTGGACAGCTGTTTCGCTCAAGTTTGGGACTCTTCAGAAGAACGAACCCACCGGATTCGAACCCAGGACCTTCTGGCTACAAGGCGAGTTCATATACTGATAAGCCACCGGGACCCAATCCAATGGCCAGCCCACGAATTCTAACTTCTGCCAATTCACGACATAGTGCGACCCATAGCCAATGTCTTCGGCGAGTATTTGTCCTCACATCCGACCGGCCCTATTCAGGTAGGTAGTTACCAGGGGTTCTAGTGAGAAGTTGTGAGCAGAAGGGTGCAGCAGATCGGATGTGAGGAAAAATACTCGCCGAAGACATTGGCTACGGGTCGCGCCATATCGTGAATTGGCAGAAGTTAGAATTCATGAGGCGGCCATTGGATCTGGTCCCGGTGGCTTAATGGCATACGAACTCGCCTTGTGACCAGAAGGTCCTGGTTCGAATCCCGGTGGGTGCGCATTGATGAAGAGTCCCAAACTAGAAAGAAACAACTGTCCAGTACTCCCAGCTTGTTTTCCAATTGTTCTCTAACCAATGTCAGCTCATGATGAAACCCTGTAACCAATCAAATCCCTACAAACCAACACTTGAATAACTAATGGAAGATTTACTAAGTGGACTGTAGGATGATATCACTGTTTATTTCCACCGTTCTCGTTATTTCCCCAGGAGCAGGTTACTATAAGATTTTTACATTTAGGAGAAGTGAGTAATAGGAGTAGAAGAGTGAAAAATGAACAGTTTTCTAGTACTATTTTCACTGTGCTGTAACACAGCCTGTTGTCTGTTTACTTAATTAACCTAAAAAAGATAATAAGGTTGTTTACAGGCATGTCTGAAAGTTATATTTGTGTAGAAATAGCAGTGAAACTGAAATAAATGTATTCCAATATTTCTTAGGATAGACTGAATGCAAGTTGTTCGTCGAATTAGACATTAGATATTTATTATTAATCATTATTACTACCACCACTTCATAAACTAGAAACTCAAAGGAAATTCAAAAAAAAAGAAAAAATCAATCAACATTTTCTTTTAAACAGTACAACGCAAAAGAGAAATTCAACTACGATATTAGTTTTTGAGGTCATTTAAGGTCATATTACTTAGTATACAATAATCATGAATATGTCTCTGCTTGTTATTCTTTTATTTGTTAATTCTCATGTTTCTTTTTTTTGTTTTTACAGAAGTCTGGAGTAAGGACGGAGCTGAAATATAATATATATAAGAAGTACGACTTCTTTATTTTATAAGCTTATAGATGAAAATGTTTCACATAATTTCGATCCATCCATAGAACTTTCAGATTTTTAAATTCACAAACTATGTATGAAGGAAATCATACTCAAGTGTTGGTTTGTAGGGATTTGATTGGTTACAGGATTTCATAATGAGCTGATAATGGCTGGAGAACCACTGGAAAACCTGGGAGTACTAGACAGCTGTTTCGTCTAGTTTGGGACTCTTCAGCAGTATACACCCACCGGGATTTGGATCCAGGACCTTCTGGTCACAAGGCGAGCTCATACTCATTCAATTTGTATTTTATCTGCAGATCGAATAAGCAATATCAATCTAAGAATCAGCAGTAGCATCCAGTGGTTCCGGTTGCCATGTCTTATTTTCATTTCAAATGAAAGAGTTATAGGCAGTAAAAGCAAGAAATGAAACGAAACTATAAATGAAGGTGTCTTATATCAAAATTCCATGGCTGTTATAAAATTCTTAACTTATCATACATATCGTCTTCCCACTGATTCGTACTCTGCTAAGCTGCTTATACTAACACTCACTAGATTCTGATTTGACACTAGTAACTAGTGTGATGTATGTAGTCCTCTCATTGGTGCAGACTGAATTCTATCAGTCAGGTTGTAATGTGGCCACCATTTTAGGTAGCTCGCCATCACGGTTCACATTGATTTGATGGTATTAGATGGTTGGAGGCAATCGGCAGGAAGCCTTGGACCTAGGTTTCCTGTTAGTTGGCACTCATCAGCAAGGCGTATCTGCAACCTTGAGGAACTCATGTCCCTTGTGAGATTCGAACCCGCGTTACCCAGTGCTGCAGTCAGAGACGTTACCAGAGACGTTACCTAGCATGAAACCTAGGTCCAAGTCTTCCTGCCGATTGCCTCCAACTATCTAATACTTATTTGATTCAGATGTTTTCATCATATCTTGATTGTTCACTCTTTTAGTTTCTTTCAGTCTAACTCTGCTGCCATTCAAGGTAGGTAGATGGTGTATGCGTATATTTGACATACAGCCTATTCACAACAGGTGGCGGAGATTTGCCTAGCAAATAAGTAAAGAAATTTCCCGGATAATAAAATGTCATAGACAAACCTTAGGACAGTCAGCATAAAAAATGTTAAAGTCAGTCACAGAATTATCGATAGGCATAAAGTTCAGACACATCTCGCATTAGTTGTGACAAATGAAACTAGCATTTGATCTTTCACATGGTTAAGAATAGAAACTTAAATTCCTTGCACAAAAAGTATGATTACTCAATCATCAGACCAGAATCATGCTTTAATTATTTTAAGCTTAAGCAGAGTCGAAACAAAGTGGTCTTGTCCTTAAGGGTCAATGTTATCCAAACTTATTTAAAACTAGATTATTTTTCGGATCAGAGAACTTTCTAAGCCAGTTGCTTATTAGCACATGACATATTATTAAGCCATTTAAGAAATTATTTCTGCACTCACTAGCCAAAGCATTAGCGAAGTCGGAAATTAAATATCTTGGCGTCATTCTATCTGCT